AAACACTTCAAAAATTTTGACAGAGTCAAACTCATTTGACAGCTTTATGGGCCCTACTCAACTAACACTCACAAGTCACACACTCACAATTCACGACCGTTGCCTACACATGCACGAATATGGCATTCGCTGATTAATCGGGCATAACTCTGGATACCGTAGTTGGCTACCGAAAAAAAAAAAAAAATCTATTTTTTACATTTTAATTAAAAACAAACATTTTTATTTATGATGTCAGAGATTTATTTATATTATTTTTTTAGATAGGATACGACATTTTAACGCTAATTTTATAACGTTTTTATAGAGCCGGCTTTATAATAAATAATTGATGACCATTTTATTTTATTTTATTTTATTTTATTTTATTTTTTGGGGCATGACAACATGTTGCCATGTTTTTTCTTTGCTGGAAAAAAAGATTTAAAGGTGGGAATAAAATCTGCCAGCCTCAAGCTAAGTGGATGGTGTCGACCACCAAATTTGAAGTTTCACAAAAATTAGAAGCTGTAGTGATTCATTATTTTTGTAGATTTTACTATTTAATATTCTTTGCAATGAATTCCACTCCTTATAAGAACATATATATAATCCTTATATTATAGTGACTAGCTAAACCAAATGAGTCATTCGTGAACTCGGATCATTAATGTTCGACCCAAAACGAGTTCGAGTTCGAGTTCGAGCTCTTAACGAGCCAAACCGTTAACTTAATGAGCTTATAATCTAACTCGTGTTCATTTATCTAAGTTTGAGCCTTTTAACGAGTCAGAATTGAGCTTTTAGCGAGCTGAACTATAGAAAATTACATAAAATCTACTTTTGAGCCTTATTAAGCCAAGCCAATAAGCTCGACTCATTAACAAAATGAGCTACTCAAGTTCGGCTCATTTATCAAAGGAGTTGAGCGGAGCTCGAGCCTTAAGAAATGGAGCCGAACCAACTCACAACGACTCGTTTAGTTTAACAAATCCATTTGTCATGCATGAGATGAAAAGACTCCTCAAATAGATGAACATACTTTTTTTAACAAATATTTACTCTCACGTTTAACTATACTAGTACGAATCTCGTGCGATGCACCGATAAGAAATGTTCAATAATATATATAAATTACAAATGCTCATTAGCTAATGTTTATAAATTAGAAATGTGGAATCAATATGTAATACAATTTACCTACATTAATTTGTTAGAAATGTTATATGAAATTTAAATTGTGCAAAATTGTATAAAACATGTCTATTTAAAATTAGTACACGACCGGTACGGTGCAAGTAACTGATAATAAGTTACATTATATTCATTTAAAAAATAAATGTCATTTTAAATTTTTTATTCAGAAATTCGATTTGACTATATTGCGATTTTTAAGTAAAAACAAAGATTTATACACACACACACCAAATAATTTGATATGTTCCACGCACATTTACAAAGAAGAATCAACCATAGTATTATTCAGTTTTTCTTTCATTATTATCGAGTAAAAAATATTGAGATATCATTTATTACCATAAACGGGTATATTGAATCATTATATATTATACCAAATAATCCAGTTACATACATTATCGATAAAGAGTAATGCTCCCCTACCCACGGTAGCACATTTTAATATGCCCACCGCTTATGCGACATGCAGACATTGGTGATGTCTTTTTTTGAACATATTAACATCACCAATGTGTACATGCCACGTAAGTGGTGAACATATTAACATGTGCCCACCATAGATAGGTGAGTCGATAAAATACAAAAAATAATCGAGGAATTCTTCTCATCTAGGTGTATCGACCCCCCGCCCAAGGGTGTACAAAATGAAATCAAGACTCACATTTATTATAGATAAAATAAAAAAGAAAAGACTCAAAATTAGTTATTAAAAAAAAAAGAGAAATAAAAAGAGGTGGGTTACAGGGTTGTAAACGAGCTGGCAAATTTCGGTCTTTTAAGGTACAACACCACACAGCACATTCCACTCTACCCTCTCTCTCCCAACTAATTTTCCCATATTTATAGCACGCCAAAATCTCCATTATCTTCACACCTCTTCATCTCATCTCCTATACAAATACACGCCCACCCCATAAGGTTTTTGAATTTCTTTCTTTTATTTTCGTGTCCAAGAAAGAAAGAAAGAAAAAATCCTTTGTGAGAGTATAATTATATATATATTTTTAATTTAGTTGATCATGGCTGACGAAGCTAAGAAGGCAAGTCCTGAAACCCCACCTGCTGCTGAGGAGGTCACCGTCTCCGACGTGCCGGCGCCGGTGAAGGCTGAAACCGCCGTTTTGGAGAAGGATACGCTGCCTCAGGCGGAGCCGGTTCCGGAGCTGGCTGATAAACCGGCGGTGGCGGAGGGAGAGGAGAAAGACGAAGCGTCCGAGGAGAAAAAGATAGCCGGATCTGTCTCCTTCAAGGAGGAAAGCAACAAGGTCGATGACCTCATTGACCCGGAAAAGAAGGCCCTCGACGAGTTCAAAAAGCTGGTTCGAGAGGCTCTCGACAAACACGAGTTTACCGCCCCGCCACCACCGCCGGAGACGCCGGCTTCCGCCAAGGAGAAGGAAGAGCCGAATCCCGAAGACAAGAAGGAAGAAAAGCCAAAAGCCGAGGTAAAAACCGAAACTTGTGAAGCGCCTGAAGAAGTTCCGGCGAAGGAGGAAAAAGTTGAAGAGAAAGAAACCCCACCGCCGGCAGCAGATCCACCGTCGTCAGAAACGACGGCGGCAGAGAAGGCCGAGGAAAAAGTGGAAGCGGCCGAGGAAATTAAAGCAACTATTGTTCATGAAGTCACTGCCGCCCCTGCCACGCCGCCGCCGCCACCATGCGAGGAGTCCTCGGCCGCTGCCGCCGCGCCGGTTGAGGATGAGAAGCCCAAAGAGGTGGCGGAGGAGGAAGGAGCGGCAGACCCACCGCCGCCGGAGGAGGTCTCCATCTGGGGCGTTCCCCTCCTCGCCGACGAGAGGAGTGACGCCATCCTCCTCAAGTTCCTGAGGGCTAGGGATTTCAAGGCGAAGGAAGCTTTCGCCATGCTCAAGAGCGTGGTTTCTTGGAGGAAGGAGTTCAACATTGACGAGCTGCTGAAAGACGAAGGTGTCGGGGCAGACAGTGGTCTCGAAAAAGTCGTGTACATGAACGGAGTGGATAAAGAGGGCCACCCGGTGTGTTACAATGCCTTCGGCGAGTTTCAGGACAAGGAATTGTACAGCAACACATTTTCGGATGCGGAGAAGAGGGCCAAGTTCTTGAGGTGGTACATTGGGTTCTTGGAGAAGAATATTAGGAATCTCGATTTCGGACCTGGTGGCATTTGTACTTTTGTTCAGGTCACTGATCTGAAGAACTCCCCTGGATTACTGTTGTTCAAGAAAGAACTCCGGCAAGCCACCAACCAGGCCCTCCAGTTGCTCCAGGACAACTACCCTGAATTTGTTGCTAAACAGGTAATACTATAGCTAAAAGTAAATACAAAGACTTAGTTTTATCTTGGTTTAAAAATTGAATCTTTTGGTGTTTACTCAACTGAGATTTGGGTTCTCTGGAGTGCCATATGGATGTTATAACTGCAACTGCATATACCTATTGAGATAGCTGATCATTCTGGTTTTAAAAAAATCCTATCTTTTGGAGTTTATGGACCGTGATTCGGATTTCGTGTGTGTCAATTATGTCTGTTTGATTATATGATGCTAGTTGTATCTTGCTACTTTTCTTATACTTGATGAGATATGATAGAACATATTACTGGGCCGTCTTGGCTGGTTTAAAAATCGAATCTTTCGGTGATTTGATGAATGGGTTTTGATAATCTCTTTTGGTTACGTTTGGGTTGGTGTATAGGTGTTCGTCAATGTGCCATGGTGGTATGTGGCTTACAACAGGATGATAAGTCCATTCTTGACACAGAGGACCAAGAGCAAATTTGTATTCGCGGGTCCAACCAAAACTGCCGAGACCCTCTTCAAGTCAGTGTGCTCGATTCGATTAGTGTAATTCCTATTGGTACTTGATTTTTACATAAAAAGTTTAATAATTTTGAATTGTGTGACCAGATATATAGCACCCGAGCAAGTGCCCGTCCAGTACGGTGGCCTTAACAAGGAGCAAGAATTCACCACCTCTGACTCTGTAATTGAGGAGATTATCAAGCCGGCCAGCAAACATACAATCGAATTGCCTGTACCTGAGGTTAGAAGCTCTAAAAATCGATTTTCCTTTTTCGGGCTATACTTAAGAAATCTTTATTTGAATTTATTTATTTTATAATAATTTGTATATTTTTCAGTCGGGCACACTGGTTTGGGAGGTGCGGGTAGTGGGTTGGGATGTTAGCTATGGAGCCGAGTTTGTGCCGAATGCAGAGGGAGGATACACTTGGATCATTCAGAAGCCAAGGAAAATTGGGCCCTCGGACGAACAAGTTCTAACATGCTCGTTCAAAATCGGCGAAGCTGGCAAAGTCGTGCTCACGCTTAATAACCAAACTTCGAAGAAGAAAAAACTTCTCTACAGGTCCAAGACCGAGCCTTCTGAATGAGATGTTGAAGAATGTTTTTTTTTTTTTTTTTTTTTTTTTTT